GCCAGCTTCCCAGCTCCCTGCCGTATGTCCCTTCCCTGGAAGGAAGGGAAACGTGCTCTGGAAGGTTTTAGGGAACCAGTGTGGTCTGTGCGACTATGGTGGGAGGAACAGGGCCACAAGCTTTGTATAAATACTAGTGGGTGACCTCTGAAGGTCTCTAGTTCAACCTCACTCACAGCAGGACTGTCACCAACTGCAAGACACCACCCCAAGGTGATGCTTTGTGGGACAAAATCACTGGGTGGGGACAGGTCTGAACACCAGCCCACAAGCCCTTGTGGCACCCAGAGCTGTCAGAGAACGTGCACGGGAGACTTGGCCAACCTCAGATCTGCCTTGGATATCTTCCACCACAATGTTCACCCTCCTGATCCATGATCTGCAAGCTCACACCTTGCAGGAGGTGGTCCAAATTCAAGTGGAGGGATTCCAAGGCTGTCAGGGAGACATGAGATGCAGGAGTTCCATGGAAAAATGTATTTCATGTTAATTAGACCTCTGATGCCAGGGATTAAGGAGAAAGCTGCTCTCTAAACTGCAGCCAGGGATGAAAGTGCTAATTACCACCCAGTGCATCATTAGCAAGCCCCAGCAAAGCCCAGAGAAGTTCAACTTGCTGATAGTTGCATCAAACTGGCAGGAATGGCTGTTATCTGTGGAGACAGGGTTTCCCAAGCTGGGACAGTAAAATCCCTACTGAGTTGCATCCCAAAGGCTTATACACTTCCTGACAGTCATGCCAGGGCAGAAGAGCTCTGTCAGGTGAGGCAGGCCCTCAGGGATGAGGCTGGAGAGGCAGTTTGGGAGCTGGCAAACCCATTGGCTCTTTAGTGGGGAGGCAACATCCGTAACACAGGTGCAAGATGGGAGGTGATGTCTTCTCCCTCTCCTCCATTCTCCCAGGGCATCAGGGTACCTGCTTAGACTCTCCCATGCTCCTTCCCCATGTCCTTCTGCTCCTGCAGCTGTTGCAGAGTTGGGATTAGGGCAGCGTGGAAGGGACACTTCGGGTCTATGGACAGGAGAGAGGGGTTGGACCTGCAGCCCCTCATCCAAGCTGGGCAATCCCAGCAAGCGGCAAGGGAAGGAAGAGGGAACAGCCCCATTCCCATGTCGGGGTGTCCCCTTTCCCATGCAGGCACAGGTCTTAGAGCCCACAGGATCAGACATGGAGTCTCAGGGCAGGATAGAGATATTTGGGAAGGCAATGGGACAGCTGGGTTTCTGTCCCCTGGGTCTCTGACAGCACATGGAAACCCACAACAGCCCTGGCAGGAGCTGGAAGTCCTTTTGGGCCTGGGAACAGAGACTATCAAGCAGCCCCCACACAAGATGATCTTCCTGGATCATGCTTCAGAAGGTTCAGGCCGTGTCCGGAGACTTGTTCCTCTCTTGCTTGATGGCTCTTGGAAAGGGCAGTAGGCTGAACACTCAACACAATTTCTAGACAAGTATTTCCTCAAAGTGTGGCTGAAACCCCTCCTGTTTCAGTTCCCACTGGGATGACATGTGGCTCCTGCAGAGCTCTGCCTCCATCTCCTGGCAGCCCTTTCAGTTGACCCTGACTTGTCTCCATCATAAGATACAAAACCTATTGGTCAGTGTTGTGGGCAGCAACATCTTCCCCTTTGCTCAAAATGTTTAACTAACTTACAGAGCTGGAAAAATAGATCCTTCTTGCCAATATATCCATAGCCAAACCAGCACAGCCACAGCACCATAAACCTCTCTGCTCACCAAGGTGGAACTGATCAGAGAGGGTCACTCCATCCTTCCTGCTGTTCTTCCTTTCAAGATGCTCCATCATGAATCATTCAGCTTTGGCAAAGATTCCTGGGCAAGGATTCAAGCATCAGGATGGGACACAGGGTGAGCTCCATCACAACAAAGCCCCAGCTCAACTCCCGCTGCAGCATTCCCCATGTCAGGAAACAGGACAGAGGGGTGATGGGGACAGCCAGTGGGGCAGGGTGACCTGGGCACAAGCACCACATCTGTCCCACTGGCTCCGATGGGTCAGGCAGAAATCTTCCTGCTCAATCCCAAAAATCACCTCCCTGCCCAGGCACGTCCCCACACCTTCCCCACCTCAATTCCCAGCACTGACAGAGGTGGCTGATCCAACACTTTTCGGCTGCTTGTGCAAGAGGTGCTGGGTGCTGCTCCCTCACCCCCACCTCCTGCAGGTGACCTGGATCCGGTGACTCATCCCTAATCAGGGGATCCATCGCTCCCAAGGGTGTGAAGCAGAGGCTGCCCAGGGAAGAGGGCAGGGTGCTGAGGTGGGAGTACCGCCCTGAGCAGGAGGCTGTGAGCTGCTGGTGAGCAGCACCCAGACCTGTTCCCTGGAAACTGGGATGAAGCTTTACCACCTGCAGAAATACCCAGAAGATTTTAAAAAAGGGGGAAACCCCCCAAACCCCAGTTATAATAATGGCCTCAAGCTTTCTGTAGGAGCTTCTCTTAGATGCAGATGGGTGAGGGGTAAATCCAGCAACTTTTCCACATTTGCCAACCCATGGCCCCATCAGCCCTCCAGGGAAGGGGTGCCACCATCCCACCCCACTTCCATCACTGCTGGGGACAGATGAGGGAACCAGAGCAGCCCTGTGAGTTTCCCAGTGTCCTTGCACACAAACCCTGTGTCGCTGGGCACCTCCTTTGGAGAAGGAAGGGAACTCCCTCCCCCTCCCTTTCATCTTTGGCAAGAGGGCATCTCCCCAAAAGACATTTGTGGTGCTCATCTGAACAGACCAAAACCCACTGCACCTCGATCTTTTCCCCAGGCAAACTCCACACATTGGTTTAACAAAGCCAGTGCAGGGGTCATCCCACTGCTGCCTCTTCCACCTCCAGGGAGTTCAATGAGGGATGGATCGTCTAAGCACTCATCCCACATACCACCTCACTTGGTTGCATCTTCCACATCTAGATTAATCTCAGCCTGCTAATTACCAGTCACTGCCTCAGTTATCCCTCTCCCATGCTGGAGGGAGAGGTATTTCCACCTTTCCAAGCGGTCCAAAGCCTGTGTGTTTGTGAGAACACCCCTGAGGATCCGCATTTTTTGTGGTGAAGTCCACGTCTCCTTCTGCTCTGCAGAGGCTCTCAGAGTCAGAGCTGGTGCCACATTCCCAGCAGACAGCCCCACAGCACATCTCTGCCCACACATTCCTCAGCCATGGCACCCTTGCCACCCTTTACTTTTTTTAAACCACCTCTGTGGTGGGATTCAGTGTTCAGACTGAGTAGCACCAGTTTGGCACTTGAGGGGAAATGTCAAAGTCTTTGCCCAAAAATGCCTTTATTTACTGCTGGACATGAGTGAAAACTCATTTTTATATCCCTCTGCAAAGGGGGTCAGAAGCTCAGCTCTCCAGGGCACCCAGCCAGCCCATCCACAGGGATGCAGAAAGAAATACCCAGGGGATGGCTGTAACTGTGCCAGTTCTGGAGAGAAGTCCCCAAACATGGATAAGGAAAGTGTTTCTGTCACAGTGGTCCTTCTTGGCACCAATGCAACCTGCTGCAGCCAACCAAGCTGCCACAGAACAAGAGCAAACCCCAAAAGCTTGAATTTCCACAATCTCCACACTGTGGCCAAGTTAGTAACTTGAGCATCTTCTGCATAACAAGGCTGGGAGCACCTCTAGACCTGTGGGTCTCTGATGATCCCCCTTGCCAGTCACTCTGTCACCTTGCCCAGGGATTGACAGGTCAGCCAGGACCTTCCCAAGAAACTTGTCCCGGTGGATGGAGTCAGGAGCAGGGTCAAGCAGGAGGCTGTGCAGCCACAAGCTGTGCCAGGTGATCTCAGCTGGAATGTTTCACCGGGCAGTCCAGCTGAGGGCTTTGAGCCCTCTGCTCTCCCACAGCAGGCTCCCAAGGAGCCTGGGAGCCCCAGGGTCTTCGTGCCATAAGGAACAGCTGAACTTTTAACTGGTCTGCAGGAAAAGTCAAGGAAAAGAAGGCAAACCTCTCCCAGTACTTTGCCAGCCTTGCCTACCCTGGGCTCAGCAGGAGCGCCGGAGGGGGCCGATCCGCTGTGGGTAAGGCTGGATAATCCAGCCGCCTTTGGAGGCGGGCACTCTAAAAACACTGGGAGAAACACAGCCGTGATTTCACGCCGGGCGGGCAGGCAGCATCCCGAGGCAACATCCCGGAGCACAACGGAGCTCTGCACAGCACCCATCCCTAGGGATCGGCCGCGGCAGAGGTAGGCTCGGCGTGGGGAAAGGGGTGTGGGTGTTCCTGCAGCCACTGCTGGGATGGTCCCCATTCCCGAGGGATGCTGAGCAGCCCTTTCCTAGCGGGAAAGTGAGTTGGTCAAGTGCCGTGGCAAAAACATCTGGCTTCCCAAGCAGCATCCCTCTGCCCACCGTTCCCTTCAGCTGGCTCCTGGGACAGGCACCCTGCTGCCAGGGACAGGCAGTTTCTCTGTCCCCTCCGCGTTATTCCTATTTCCTTGGACGATGAGGAGTTAAGTCCGTCGGGGCTCAGCGAGGAGCAGCTCGATGAGGCGCAGCCCGTGTTTGTGCTGTGATTCACCAGCGCCCCGAGCGCAGCAACTGCGAACGGGAGCCAGGCTGTGGATAAAGGGCTGAACTAGGGAGGGAGGAGCATGGGGAAGACAGCAGGGACGGAGAACAGGCAGAGGAGAGGAATGAGTGGCCCAGTGGTGTTTGCATGTCTTGCTGTCCCACACTGGGGACAACCTGAGGATTGCAGCAGATGCCCTGGTTACTCCAACCCAGCTTTGCTCTGGGATGTACCCCGAGGAGATGGAGGGCTCCAGTGGGAGATGCCTGAGTATGGCCCGTGTGGGACTGCAGTGTCCCGGGCACTGGGGATGCACACACAGCTGTGCCTGGCACAAGAAGAGCGCTGGCAAGGGGGCAGGAGGTGGTTCTGTGGAGAAGGCTGGGTGTGGTGGAACTGTGAAGGTGATTTTTGCTCCACTGTCTCTCTGGTGTCAATTCCCAGCCCTCCCAGGCAGGAGGATGACGCTGTGGAATGGCTCCTACCCCTTCTACCCCGGTGCCAATGCTCGTTTCCCCTTTGACACCACCCGGGCTGTCATCATCACCGTCTTCCTCTCCATGTTGGCCACTTTCATCATCATCCTGCCAGGAATCAGAGGCAGGGGGGTAAGTGGAGAAGCAGGGGAAGTACAGACCTCTGGTCTCTGAACTATGTATCCAACATTTCTCCTCCTTCTCAGCCTTGAAAAGAGCTTTGGGGAGCAAACCTGCCCACAGTTCATGGGCAACACTCTGGCATTTCTAGCAAGCCAGAGGGGTAAGCACCAGCCCATCCCAGCATGGACCCCATGCTACAGACATCACTCCACCATCCCAAATTTCTGAGGCAGCTAGATTTGAGCTTGGCTTGATTTCTCTATGAGCAAGGCCAAGTGATTTCACAGGGGTGGAAAAGCAGGGTGAGGCTCAAAGATCTCACTCCACCTTCCCTGAAATCTCAATAAAAGAAAGAGGTGTGCACTGGGCATGTCCCAGCACTGCTCACTGGGCTCTGTGTGGCCTACAGACCCCACTGCAAGCCACGTGTTTGTTGTGTGCTTGGCTTTGCAGCAGGACTGGCTGAGAGGCTTCTGTCCCACAAGGGACACACTACAAATGCTCGGTCACAACTTCTGAATCCAGCTGTGGCCAGCTGCCAACACATCCACAAGTGTGGAAATTCCAGCTCAACACTATTTAAGGGAGTGCCTCCATGCTCCTTCCCAGAAAGGGGATGTCACAGCTTTCCCCAGAGGACTGTTTTGACCTTCGTGGCTCTGTCTGGATCTCCCTGCTGCCTCCCCGCCATCACAGCAGGGTTGTGGTGGGTGCCACCAGCCACATGTCCCCCACATGCCACCTGCCTACAAAGCACAACTTGGGGTGTGACTCCCCAAGGGAGGGATGGGCCTGTTCCTCAGCATCTGGTGTTTCTAAATGACATGCTTGGTGCTGAGGTCCCCATGGCAAAATCTGGCTGAGATCTGTCCTCTTGCTCTGCTCACCCCTGGCAGCGACTCTTCTGGTTCCTGCGGCTGGTGATGGGACTCTTCGTGGGAGCAGTGGTCCTCAGTGAGTAGTGGGGTTCTGGGGGGGAAGATCAAGGATGCCCAAGGCATGGAGGAGAAAAGTGACATACAGGACTTTCCTCCTTGTGGCTCACAACCCAGTCCTTGCCCTTGGGACGAGGCAGGTGATGCCCAGGCCTTGGTGACCAGGCAGGTGCTTCCAGCACTAGATGTCTTGCTACCAGGCCATAACTAACCTCTGAATTCTTCACAGCCATACAGTTCACCAGGGACTGGGAGACTGGCTGGGTGCAGG